CTTTTTCACAATTATTTTTTCTTTAATTGAAGGACTTTGGTTAAAATTATTTTTAATTTAAAAAAAACCCAAAGCAATCTAGTTATACACGGCTATGTATCTCCTACTTATCAACAAAATTTCCCGAAATTATTAGCTTTCTTGTAAAGAAGGTGTTACCCAAATAAAAGTGGAGTGGGTTGTTTCTTCTTTTAAAGTATGAATATGTTTAACTGATTTTGATGTAACTGTCACAATTTTTCTGATAATCCTGCCTAGCTCATACTCTCTTCCTTAGCACTCAATGGAATAATGAACTTGATTTTCAACTGCAATTACAACAAAGTGAGCAAAGCACACCTTCCAAGAGGATCAGTGTCTGCCGGCATGACAATGATTCTGAAGCATTTTTTGAGCATTCAAGCACAGGTTTACTGCAGTCTAACAAAAACATGAACAGTATATGATCCTTTAGTTTAAGACGTCCAGTTCTGTAATTAAACTTTTTAACATGGACTCATATAGCAGTCCCAAAATACACAGGGACAGTATAAAACCTCAATCCTAGACACAACTAGGAAAACCAGACAAAAATATATGAATATGACTACAAAAAGAAACATATTTTGTATTTTCAAAGTAACAGCTTTCCATGGTATTTAAAGGCAAATAAATTAAAATTTGTAATTTTAGAATTAAATTATTTAAAAAAATGTAAAGAAAAGATGTGGACTTGCTTGTGTCAAGGATAGATCAACAGTATAAATAAAATAATCATTATATTTGTACCTTTAAATTAGATTGTACAGTTTAGACACTAAGATACTACCTACCATTGGTTTATGGTATTTAATAATAAGATATCATTTATAAATACACTAACTTCCAATCTTACTATAAAGTAATTTTTATTAAAAGGATATGCCTTTACATCTATGTTGCCACATTTTTCATGTGATCACTGTGAAAATACAGAATGTTGCAAAACAAATCTGACAGCAAAAACTGAAGTCTGTGAGATGCTGGTGTGATTGAAAATTACGCTAGAGATTTTAATAGGATAAAGACACAACTGAATATTGAGCTTTAAAAAGACGATAGCACTGAGCTCCTAATCACAAACATCGTTAGCTTTAGTTTTAAAACTTATTGGCAGAAACCCAGAATTTCACCAACTACACAGAATTTCTTTTCTATGCAATAGCTTAGATTCAGATAACCCTAAAGAAAGGCCAGGTAATATTTATGATGTGTGGAGAGTCTCGGTCCTACCTCCTCTAAAAAGTAACATAGTGCAGAAAGTAACACATATGCCAACTTCATTGCCAGCCACTCAGCAAAATCTTGCTAGCAATCTAAAATACAAATAGCCATCATTTATAAATATAGGAGTAAAACACTTCCAATTCCTTTATCAACCTCACTCCAGCATTATAACTTAATAGTACATAATATACTGATATTGCAGACAGATCACAGGTTTGACATAGCAAAATATATTAGAAACAGAATAGTAAGAATGTAGCAGAAAAAGGCAGCAAGAAAGTAAAACATGAAACATATCCCACAGTAACTTTTCCTGCTACAATCCCTTCTACTTCATCAACAGCAGCATTTCATATGTATACCTTGTATCAACCCAACTTTTGGCATCATTTAAGTCATCATGGCGTTTGGCTCATTATTTTTAATCTTGTTGCCAAGGGGAGTTTGCACCTTTTAAATTTTGCACTTTATGATGCTAGCTTTCCTTGTGTTTTTCCATCACTTACTGTCCTGAATATACTCATGTATTGTCAATACGTCTCCCTTTTTCCACACACGCACATCGCTACGTCTTTACTGATCTGATTAGACATTATAGGAAGATAAATATTTCCTCATATTGCAGTCATACCTTCATATTACTTTGCAGAACTACTCATAATCTATGCAAACGCTAGGGCTAAGATCTGGCATCAGGTACTGATGAAATTAATTTGTGTTCAAGTGTAACATGAAATTCCCCTCTGAAGTTTTGCAATGGAAGGACTGTATCCAGGTCTTTCCCATATTCACGAACTGCACTATTAACATGCATTTCCTAAATGTAACTAAGCATTGAGTGATAAATGAGTGTTGAGGGTTTCCAGGGGAACAGCAACTGTATTTAAAGCCTCTTTCTAATAAGATCAGTAACTAAAACCTAGCTCAGGTGAATAAAACTAACAGCTATTCTCTTAGAACAACTTTTTAGGTAGACAGTAACAGCCTTTTTCACTGATTGAGTTCTTTTTGCTTGGCAACTATAACATTTACAAAATCATAGTCATAAATGACATGAAAGGATACATTTGGTGTGATTCAACTGAGTTCAGAGATCTAACATGACAGAGGGTAAGAAATTGCCAAATCTCAGTGTTATTGCTTAGACCACAACATAGGGTAGTATGCAGTATAGGAGGTAGTGCAACTCTACATCAATGAGCACTGAGAAGCAGTCACACTATAACCTACTTCTTGTGAATTGCCCCATATCTGCAAGCCATCATGTCCTCACTACTGTGATAGCTAGATTAAAGCTAGTACATTCAACCCCACTTTGATTGTAGCACAGCCTAGAAATGAAGGCTGCTCCTGGAGATACTTGCCAATTCTGAGCCCACATCATTTCCCTTCAGAGCCTAAAAGAGGCAATGTCCTGTCAGTGGCATCGCTGGAAATAACATGAACTACACTTAATGATGCATAGAAAATACATTGGACATTTGGTCTCGGCATAGAAAATTATGAAGTACTAGTGATATTCCTTGAACTTGATAGTAATAGCTCTACATTAACTTACTGACAATATAAAATAGTGTACTGACCCTGAAGCGTAATTCAAATTCAATAGTTTAGGGTCTGGTAAAATTCTAAGTACAACATTACTGATCTGTGCTGTTTCTTGAAACCAATAAAAGTATAAACCTAGTCAAAGACTAGTTTATGGAGAGTAATGGGAATTATGATGATATGCAGCTCCCTTCACTCATATGACCATGAAAATTACTTCAGAAACCTATAATGAAGGAGTTTGCTAATCTGCTCTGTTCATGAGGAAAAATAGCCTAATGATTAATCCTTCCAGTCTGATTAGTCCTGGCTCCCGAGCCTTCCCAATTGCCTAACATTCCTTTGCTGAATTCACTTTTCTGTAGGGAAAATAGGGAAATAGTGTAAGGAGGGTGGCAACCTGCTTAGGGTCTTGCATCTTACATCCCTCCAGCCAAACAAGACCACAGCTGACAGCCACTGTATTGTTAAAGCTTGAATGCTCTATATGACAACTGAAGCAATTACAGGTGTCTTCTCCAAACAAAGCATGTTGAAAGTGGAATTTTTCTTTTTCCTCCCTAAAAGCTATAAGCTTTTCCCCCTCACAACTCTAACAATAAGCTTGAAGATAGCTATACAGGTTTAAGAGAGCTGTGAAACCTTCACAGACCACCAGCCATGCAGCCAATTTTGAGCTTAGCTGCTTTTTACTCTCAAAAAAACCTATTTCTAGAACTCATGAGGTCAAACTGTGTGTGTGGAGGTCAGGAGGGAGCATTTATGACTGACTCCAACTTATCCTACTTACATGGCATGACATACACACATTTTAAATTCCATGACTATAGATAAGTTATAAAAAGTTTTTCAAGATCTGGGAATGTTTGTAGAGATCACAACCATGTTCAAATACTCATAGCTATATACTAACATATACATGTGTGTGTGTGTGTGTATGTCAGCAGTTAAATTTCAAGATTGCAACACCTGGAGATGTTTCAAACATTAATTCTATATTTGAGGATATTAACATGAAACATTTGACTTCCATATTTCAGTGTGTTCCACTTTTGTTACTACCTCAAAGCAGTACTTATCCCAGGTCAAAACTGTTTATGAACTACTGTTAAATGTTGTTTTTATTGTTAATACTTATCACAAGAAGAGATTTGTACATTTATGTACACAAAATATCATAAAGCCTGTGTTCTGTATGCTACTGCAAAAATCTATCACTAAAGAGGTTACTTTAATAAAAAAGGGCTTATCTGGGTATGCAGTATTAAGAGATTTAAAATGATAGGCAGTGAAATAAATCACTGCAGAGGAAAGGCAAAGATTAAAATACTTAAACCTAAGAAAGGAATATCAAATTTGATTCAGAATCATATTTATGAACATCATCGACCCCGAGTAAGACTGAATTTCAAGAATGGTACACAATCAAGTATGCAATCTGCCTGCACTGCATAAATTATGCATATTTAATTATAACACATATTTAGTATTCATCAGGAGCATGCTTACATGACAGGACACTTACCTGATACAACTTCATAAACAAAAAGATTGAAAAAAATAAACAAGAGACTATGGAATTTAGCAATGAGATGGCTAGTGGATAGCACAGGACCCAGCTTCCAAACTAGCCTACAGATTTTTCTTCTTCATTAACATATTTGTTTTACAACATTTCAGAGACATAAAACCATCAACAGTTTTCATGATCTTCATAAGTGGCAGATCCTACTTAGGATGGAAATTCAGCATGTGACTATCCAAAAATCATATCCTTGATGCTTTTAGAATTTCTTTCAATGTAAAGTAAGTAGCAGGAATTAGCATTATCATGCCAACAGCATCAAACTTGGGTTTGATACTGTTAAATAAAATGCAAGTTCCTAAGCATTTCTTGCTTGGGTTGGGCAAATATATAGTTCTAATTAAGGATCAAGCTCATTAATTCTATTTTTCTGGGTTTTATTTTGTTCAAAAAAGTATTTATCTTATAAAAGAAACTTTTTATACAGGTAGATTAGTTGGTAAGAACCGCATAAATGGCTGCTTACTAGATTCTTTTATAGTGATAGACTGCTCAATTTCATTTTATCAACATCATATTATTTTATCAACATACCTAATGAAACTTACTAGTTTGACATGATTTGGGAGATATAAAACCTATCTAATAGAATATATACATATATATAAAAAATTATTCTTACCAAGATGACTTGGAAAAGAACTGGAAAAAGACGGATTTCTTCCACAAGGCTGTAAAAACATATTTTAAGATTTATTTAAAAAGAGAGGAAGAGAATTCTTATTTAACACACTAAACTCACAAAAGGATCAGAGTAGTAGAAGAGCCATTGCCAAAACCCATGACCCAGAACCTCAGCCTTTGACTAACTCTCAACAAAAATGAGCTCCAATTCAGCTATTAAATAGAAACAGCAATGTTATACCGCTTTGGAAATTGCTTTTAGGTCTGCTTCACTGATGTGATTCAAGTGAGTGGAACAGTAATTAAATTAATATTTTTAAATGGCAGAAATTAATAAAAATTCAGAAATTTAATACTATACATACTATGAAGCAGTCGGTGTGCACCATTAATAATTTGAATTAATAGACTCAGTGCACATAGTGTAAATATAAATATGCTGTGGTTTTTTTAAAGCATGCCACATTAACTAGCTTCTTAGGTTTACCATATTAATATATAAGACATTCGTCAGCCACTTCTCTTGACAAAAACTGAGAAGTGGTCACCCAAAATAATTTAGCTATATTCTCCTGAATTTCAAAATCAGATACAAAACAGCATATACATACTTAAAAGAAAGAAGAATATTCTCAAAAAACAGTAATACTTTACATTAATGCAGTCTTGTCTATTCTTAGAACCCAAACACTTTATATTTCTTAAAGCATGTCTCACAAACACTATGATGACATATGAATTATATGATTACATACTCTTTCCTGTATTACATTGTCCAATTTGAAGAATGATTGTCCCTTTTCCATACACACTGTACTAGATGCCTATTCACCAAACACCACAGAGAACACCAAACTGTTTCAAAGATTTTTCTCTTGTGTCTTCATAACATTACTGAACTGCTTCATAAACAATAGGGATGTTTAGCCTTGTGATATAGCTGTAAGATAAGATTGTATTATGAAGTTCATGTAATAAATGCAGAACTCAAACACAGACAGCATGTCTGAAAGTGTTGAGGGAAGATGTGCACTATGACCATACGCTCAACATGAAGCAGGTGCTTTTGCACACTTACTCAGGGAACTCTGCATATAACATACTACAAAATTGTCTTGGAGGTAGTATGTCAGTTAAAAACATAAAGTTATATTAAATAGTTCTCTGTTAATAAAGAGGAGTCGTATTTGACTAAAATAAGCATTTAGTTACATGTTTGAAGCTTTATTGTGTAATACCCTATACCAGCTTCTGGTACAACAACAATCAGATTAATTCTATTTGGTAAACTATTTGTTAAAAAGAACCTATACATTCCTAAAATTACAGGTTTCCATTTAAGAGGTTTTTATTCATGTCCAGTAAGAAAAGAGGAGAAGGTATTATTTTTATGGATAGCATAAGCTGAAGCATTAAGACTGTGAACTGAAGCAACTAAAAGGAATTGCACATTCTCTTCTAAGAACTTCATGAAAAAATTGAAAGGGGGCTAGAAAAAACATCCAAGGGTCATAAAATCATAAAATGCTTCATTTAGATTAACATCACCTATCAGAGCCCTGGTTGTTCATATATGTTGGAATAATTTTATGTAAAGGAAATATAATAAGGAATGAAATGCATGCTAACAGAACAATCATATCTATGAAGAACTGAGAATTACTTAGAAGTCAGATACGTGCATTAAGTATAAATAATGGTTTCCTAGTTCATATTGTTTTCCTATTTCTCTGATCCTTGCATTCACCTAAATGTTATAATGATGACCATGTAGAATCCATATGAAGTTGGGGTGGGAGCAGAGGTTTAGTGTAAGAAGATCTATTGCATTGTACAGCACTGGCATGTGGACCCAGAGACGAGTAAAACACATCCACTAAATTGGTCAAAACATAACAAAACAATATAATTTTATGTACCTGTATAACATGTTTAATGTAACTAAGTAACAGCCTTGTTCGACCAAATGTGTTCATTTTTTACTTGCCTACAGAAATGGGTAAAGGCACAAGCTACACCCAATAGAAAGAAGAGTTCATACATGGAAAGGAACTCATTATTTCTAAGTTAAGAAGCTTGAATTTAAGGAATATTTCTGTTCTTATTAAGTTGATGGAAAAAATATCCATATGCAATGGAAATCCCAACAAGTTCCTTACATAGGTCAGGAGAACCTGAAAGCTCTCCGCTGTGCCATCTAACAACCCTTAAACAGACAGTTATGGCACCTTGGACACAGCCGGGTCATGAAAGAGTCCCAGGATTGCAGATAGGAAGAGTTATTATATTTGATGTTCATTTTCCAGGGCCAAATCTACTAGTTAAATTAAAAATTTAGACCATACCTGTAAAACAGAATTTTGCTGATGTGGGTAGAACAATACTGAACATAAAAAAGGTCATTTAAACACCACAGACTCTCAGAAAGAGCAACTACTGTAACAGCAACCACATTGACAAAATGAAATTTTGCCAGCACAAACCATCTTATGCTTAGGGCATATTGGAATTACTCACACCAGCAAAAGCTGCTTACTTTGCTACGTAAGAAGCATTTATACTGAGAACACATTGGCAGTAAAATACAAATACCAAGAATAGCTGAGCAATCCTAGTTTAGGCAAAATCTAGAAAAATGATTTTGTGGTAAAGACTAAATTATGACACAATTAGTTTCAAAAACTGTAAGCAGTCCTGATTATTACAGCATTACGAAGTCAGCTATACTTTCTGTTGATCTAAGCTAAGACGAAACTAGAGCCAATATGGCTATTCTTAAAGGTCACCTGCAAACCTTTATGATTGAAACAAGAAACAGCTGCAGCCTTTAAAGAAAATGATACACATAACTTAGCTAAAGCAAAGTCACATCAAGCAATGTATTAAGACAAATCTTAAATGGTTTATCCCAGCTTTGCATATACGTGCACAAGACGGACAGTGATATTATCACATTCTTCATTGCTATCTTACATAGTTTTTTACAAAGGAAATGTCTTAAAGCAGGTGAAAAAAGAGTTCAGCTAGGAAATTTATTTCATAGAATGATCATATTCTAAATCAAAAGTAGTTTGGTTCTTTTTAGACTTTTATAAAATTTATATTAAATTAGGTCCTACCCTGTTTGGAAAACATATGTATGAAGATGATTCTGTATAAGCAAATCATAACACTAAATATCAAGTACTTGTATTTTCTTTTCATTTAAACCTACATCCAAATAAACAACAGTGGCTCAAAATAACTGGTCATCTGATTTTAAAAGACTTGCCACCAGTATAATCCGAATTTTTAACACACTAACACTTTTCAAATTGAGTTTATGCCTCTGGTCTTGCTTTCAAAAAATACGCATCTGTTTTTCTAAGACATCCTAAATTGCCTTCTTGCAAAACACAAACCTACTGCAGGACACTGAACACAAAGGCTTTTTGTCACAGGTGTGATCCCTTAAAAATTCCAGGCACGTACTCTGAAGTAAGAGCCTTACACAGCAGGACTCCTGGTTTAGAGTTTAAGCTTTCTGTCCCAGCACTTGCATACAAAAGGAAGTACCTTATACCAGGGTGTGAATTTATACTGCCTTGCATTTACTTCTCACAGGAATAATTCTGGTACACACTAATGAAGGCAGTTTTGAGGAGACAGCATAAGACTAACTCCTTTCTTATTGGGCATCAAGAATATCTGTACTGGTTCCCTATAGAGAATTCTTTGTCTGATGAAAATGGGATGAGATGTTTCAGTTGTATGAGTTCAAGTTGGGCATAATACCAAATTAGAAAAAAAAAAAAAATAGAGCGAAATCAATAACACTTCTGATCTTGTGTCACTGACAAAGCAGTTTAATAATGTCACTATTTTACTCCTCTAATTGAAATTGTCTAGCAATTAAATATCCTTATTTAGATTTTTTTAAACTTTTTTAGGAACTTCTCTGCTCAAACACAAAACTATAAATTCAACACTTCCAGACTGCTGTTTTCCTCCTTTATAGGTAGGATTTACCTGTAGGTAGGCTATGCCTACAGTGGCAGCTGGTCCCTAAATAAAGGAAACAGAGCAACATTCTGTAAAAATACAAGGCAGTGAATTTTCCAAAACACTGAGATTTGTGCTCTTAAGTCAATTCATCTTCAAAAATCAGTCATAAGTTTTTTTATAAAAGCCATAGATTGCTACACTTGAAGTAAACACTACTAATTAGTCTTTCACTTCTTATTATACATAATAAATGCCTTTTCTAGGACAGCAATGCAACAAACGACATAAATCACAGTAAAAACCAGGGGTTAATACACAAACAGAATTTGATTTTGACCCCTGACAAATGACTTAAGAATTCATGACGCACTGCAGTCTGCTGTTATTCATGTCTATATTTTTGGTCTGGATCATTCACAAAAAACCCCAAACCCACAAGTGTGCAAATGTTTGTATTATCAAATTGAAAAGCTGCAATAAAGGCTAGCAAATGAACACAAAATGGCCAACACCACTTCAGCAGCATAGAAGGATAGAAAGTTGGTGGAAATAATCAACTGGAAACTCCTCGATCTCAATCTCATACAGCAAGTAAACTCAGGGATATGAGTTTCTAAGTTGGAATAGCCTCTTAGTGCCATTGGTACCTTGAATAAATTAGAGAACAGCTCACACAAATTTACTCTTTCTGGGTGAATCGCAAATAATAAAGACCCACCACTGAACCAGAAAGTTTCAAAGTCACCTTACTGCCACACTTTCATACCATGCCCTCAGCAGCTGTTCAAAGGCAAAGACAATGATCTCATCATTGATTTTAAGAAATATTATACCAAGGCACAATTTACAATGGCATCTACCATAAAATACATCAGGGAGAAGATCTATCAACCTTGTCTTTAGGTGTCCCAATTATTTTAAAGTCAATTTTCTTGAAAAGAGTTATTCTTCAATTCTGGTTCCTAAGCCTTCTCAGCAACTGTAGTTTACATTTCAAATGACCCAGGGGGCAAGGACGAAGAGAGGACTTTTGGCCTTTCAGTGGGCAGAAAATTATTTTGGA